ATGCCCACGCCCCAGAGCAGAGCACCGGGTTGATACTTGGGGCTCCAGCTCCTGATTCCACCCTCCTGCTAATCCATACCCTGGGAGGCAACAGCGATGGTGCAAGCTGGGTTCCTGCCACCCACACGAAGGCCTGTACTAAGTTCCTGGCTGCCTTCTTTGGTCGCAACCCAGCCCAGGCTACGGCAGGCATCTGGGGAGTGAACAAGCAATAGGGGCTCTCTGTCTTATCCCTCAAAAAATTAAAAAGTCAAAACAAGTTGAAAGGCTAATTATACTCTCCTCCTATTCTGAAATGCTTCTCTCATCAGTGAGGCTCAGTTTACTTTTTTTCATGTTTACATGCCATCTGCAGTTCTTATTTCACTAATTAACTGTTTGGCTGGGGTACCGATACTGTTAAAGACAGTATATTCTAATATTTTGGGATAGTTAGGTTTAATTTAAAAAAGATTTATGTATTATGAAAGTCAGGGTCAGAAAGAGAGAGAGAGGGAGAAAGGGAGAGAGGGAGAAAGGGAGAAAGGGAGAGAGGAGGGGGAGGAAGAGAGAGAAAGAGAGAGAAAGAGAGAGAAAGAGAGAGGAAGAGAGAGGAAGAGAGAGGAAGAGAGAGGAAGAGAGAGGAAGAGAGAGGAAGAGAGAGGAAGAGAGAGAGAGAGAGAGAGAGAGAGAAACAGATCTTTCAGCCACTGGTTCATTCCCCAGATGGCTGCAACACCCAGTGCTGGGCCAGGCCAAAGCCAGGAGCTTCACCTGGGTTTCCCACGTGAGTGCAGGGGCCCAAACACTTGGGCCATCTTCCACTGCTTTTCCCAGGTCATCAGGAAGGAGCTAGATTGAAGTGGAGCAGCAGGACATGAACAGGCGCCCATGTGGAATGCTGGCGTCACAGGCGCAGCCTTATTCACTACAAACACAATGCTGGCTCTGGGCTTAATATTTTAAGGAATCAAATTTCTCAAATTTATAGTCATGTCTGATGTTTTTAAATATATGAACATGTATTACATCTTATTATCAGAACTTTTTTTTTTTTTTGACAGGCAGTGTTAGTGAGAGAGAGAGACAGAGAGAAAGGTCTTCCTTCCGTTGGTTCACCTCCCAAACGGCTGCTGCAGCTGGCACGCTGCACCAATCCGAAGCCAGGAGCCAGGTGCTTCCTCCTGGTCTCCCATGGGGTGCAGGGCCCAAGGACTTGGGCCATCCTCCACTGCACTCCCTGGCCACAGCAGAGAGCTGGCCTGGAAGAGGAGCAACTGGGACAGAATCCAGCGCCCCAACCGGGACTAGAACCCGGTGTGCCGGCGCCGCAGGTGGAGGATTAGCCAAGTGAGCCGCGGTGCCAGCCCAGAACAGGTTTTTAAAACACTAAGTCACAAAATAATATCAAACTAGTAGTACTGAGGATCTACTACAGATACACTAATGCTACCTTGTACACCTGGAATCCTCAGAGTACAGATCTCAAGTGCCCTCACCTGCTTCAGACGCGCGATGTCACACAGAAGGCCAAGTAACACAGTGATGAATGAGGTCATTAACCTGCTGTGATAACCACTTCACACTGCACACTGTAAACACACACGCTTTTGTTTACTGATTATACCTCAGCGAATCTGGAGGAAATGAGTTGGAAGATGAAACAAACTACATGAAGCAAAGGTAACAGGAGTCGCCCACGTGGCAAGGCGGAAGTGCCCCAGGGCGTCCTGCCTGCTCGGTGCCCACTCAGGGGTTCAGCAGGCGGCCCCACGGGTGTGAGCTCACTGCTGCTCCTTCCCAGCCAGCCAGGGACACCTGCAAAGAGACTGAGCCTGCTGGCCGCTTCCTCACCTACAGCGTTTCCGAAAGCACGTGGTCCTTGTTCTTTTTGCCAGTTTGAAAGGCAGCTGACAAGTTTCTGTGCTGACTATTCTCTCAGAGAGAATCTTACTGGCCACCGCAAAAAAAATTAAGAATGACTGTTTTCTCATTATTGAATTCTACTGGCTTGACAGGGAAAATGGAACTCTTTGAGGACAACCGTGTTTTAGAATATGGAAGACCGACAGCGAGAGTCCCTAAAAGTAGTGACCAATCACACCCCACGGCTGAGATGCTGACAGACGTGCTCAAATACTGCCACAGTCTATGTAAACACAACATTCGAGTACTTTATACACAGAAATGCCAATCAGGGCCTGTGGCCCAGGGATTCTCGAAGAAAAACTGGGGAACTTTTGACCAAAATATGAACTTAGTATCACTGGAAATCTCTGCTAAATGACTGAAAATGGTCAACTTTGTACCTCTTTCTGTATTCCTGTATACTGGGAGGTTTTCAGAGGGAACCTGAGATGTGACCGCCTGTGATCTACTCGTTTGTGAGACAATCTGAAACAAACCTACAGCACTGGACAGATTCAGCACATACACATTTCCCTTAAAGTCAGCCCACCAACCAAGACCTACAGCTGACACTTTTTTTTTTTTTTTCAAAGATTTATCCATTCACATGAAAGTCAGAGCCACACAGAGAGAGGAGAGGCAGAGAGAGAGAGAGAGAGAAAGAGGTCCTCCATCTGCTGGCTCACTCCCCAGCTGGCAGCAACGGCCAGAGCTGTGCTGATCTGAAGTCGGGAGCCCTCTCTGGGTCTCCCAGGTGGGCGCAGGGCCCAAGGGCTTGGGCCATCCTCCATTGCCCCCTCCAGGCCACAGCAGAGAGCCAGACTGGAAGTGGCCCAGCAGGGACCAGAACCCACACCCATATGTGATGCCGGCATTGCAGGCGGCAGCCTCACCTACCACGCCACAGCGCTGGCCCTGACACTCAGTTGGATAAACTATTGCTTCTATATTAGGTTCAAGAGTATCTGGAACTGGTGACCGTTTATGATTGATTACCATTTCCTGAAATCCAACCATCACTAAAGGTGTTTCAAGATACTTCTCTGTTTACACCAATGGCTCTCTACTGGGGAGAAATGAAATGCTGCCCCCAAACACATCTTTGGTTGCCAGCTGGGAAGGGATGGTGTTGCTGGCACCTGGTGGGTGGAATCCAGGTACTGCTAAGTATCCTACAATGCACAGGGCAGCATCCCACAGCAAAGAATTACCTGATCCCAAACGTCAAAAGTGTCAAGTCAGAGAAACTCTGATCCACGATAAATTACCAATATAAATTACCGAAAAAAGACCCAATGCCTACCATGTGTTCTCTAAATCTGCACTTTTAACCGCATGCTTTTGGCCCAAGAATTATCCAAAAAGGATATCAGGAGTATACCGAAACATATATAAATCCAGAACAATGACCAAAAATAAAATTTATGAAGCCACTACAAAATAAACTCTAGGGGCTGGCGCTGTGACACAGGTTAATCCTCTGCCTGCAGTGCCAGCATCCTATATGAGCGCCAGCTCTAGTCCCGGCTGCTCTTCTTCCAATTCAGCTCCCTGCTGTGGCCTGGGAAAGCAGTGGACGGCGGCCCAAGTGCTGGGCCCTGCACTGCAGGGGAGACCTGGAGGAGGCTCCCGGCTTCAGATCAGCCCAGCTGCAGCTGCTGCATCCATCTGGGGAGCCAACTAGCAGATAGAAGACATTTCTCTCTGCCTCTCCCTCTCAAATAAATAAAATTTATTTATTTATTGATAAATAAAATAAAATTGTAACTCCACCTCTCAAATAAATAAAATCTTTTAAAAAACAAAACAAAATGGGGCCGACGCCGTGACGCAGGTTAATTCTCCGCCTGCAGCGCTGGCATCCCATATGGGCCCCGGGTGCCAGTCCCGGTTGCTCCTCTTCCAGGCCAGCTCTCTGCTGTGGCCCGGGAGTGCAGTGGAGGATGGCCCAAGTGCTTGAGCCCTGCAGCCATGGGAGACCGGAAGGAAGTACCTGGCTCCTGGCTTCGGATCGGCGTAGCTCCGGCTGTAGCAGCCATTTGGTGAGTGAACCAATGGAAGGAAGACCTTTCTGTCTCTGCCTCTCACTGTCTGTAACTCTACCTCTCAAATAAATAAATAAATAAAATCATAAAAAAAGAAAAAAGATAAACTTCATCCAAATACTCCTCCTTCTGCTGTAAAGTTACCACTGACTCAACACTCCAGAGTCTATTTCAAGCACCGTAAGTACGTACTGGACTCCAAGCGTAAGCTGCTCTTTAAATTTCCAGTTTCCAGGCACACAGGTTCAATTTAAGCACTGTTCACAGCTCATCTCCTCACAACACAAACACAACTCACACGACAGGAAAACATCTCACTCACAATTCTGTCTGACCCGTAGATCCTCTCCAGCTGTTCAGCCACGTCTCTTGTTCCATCTGGGCTCCCATCATCTATGATTATAATTTCATAGTTGATTCCACTGCAAAAAAAAAAGTGCATTCATACTCAGAGGTAACGTTAGCACGTTTACAGACAATCTTTAAAATCACGAACTCTTCACCAGCACCAGAAGATCTACTGCCAGGAGTCACTACGGAAAACAGCAAAATTTTGTGCTTTACCTCCAAACCTAATACATTGCTAACAAAAAAAAAAAAAAAAAAAAAAAAAAAACTACCGTAAAGTCCTAAGATATTAGAGCCCTCACACAGAAAACATACCTTTTAGATTAAAAAAAGGAAGAGAATTTGTGTGTGGGCGTACACTCCCAAATTTCACTCAAATCTTCACGTGCCTCCTTTGGAAATCTAATTCTTAACCTTGACTCTATGCTAGTTATGTAAAACATCTCAGAGCCCGCATGGGCACCGCGGATTAAGCCGCCACCTGCAATACGGGCATCCTGATCGGTTTTTGAGTCAGATTTGAATCCCGGTTGCTCTTTCTTTCTTTCTTTTTGACAGGCAGAGTTAGACAGTGAGAGGGACAAAGACAAAGGTCTTCCTTCCGTTGGTTCACTCACCACAGGGCCACTACAGCAGGACTATGCCAATCCAAAACCAGGAGCCAGGGCCTCTTCCTGGTCTCCCATGCAGGTGCAGGGGCCCAAGCACTTGAGCCATCCTACACTGCCTTCCCGGGCCACAGCAGACAGCTGGACTGGAAGAGGAGCAACCGGGACTAGAACCAGGTGCCCATATGGGATGCCGGTGCCACAGGCAGAGGATTAACCTAGTGAGCCAGGGTGCCGGCCCCCAGTAGCTGCTCTACTTTCAATCCAGCTCCCAGCTAATGTGCCTGTGAACGCAGCAGAAGATGGTGAAGTGCTGGGGGCCATCACACACGTGGGAGATCCGGATGGAGCGCCTGGCTTCCGCCTGGCCATGTGAGGAGTGAACCAGTGGATGGACAATCTGGCCCCCAAGTCTATCTTTCAAATAAATAAACCTCTTTCAAAAACTTCAAAAAGTACTTTAAACAGTAACTCAAGTCAAACTCCACAGCTGATTATCACTCTTTTTCAATTTAATCCCGAGATTAATAATCAGTAATAAATCTGATTGAATTTCACCAATAAGAAAACCCAGTTTAGGCCGGTGCCGCGGCTCACTAGGCTAATCCTCCACCTAGCAGCGCCAGCACACTGGGTTCTAGTCCTGGTTGGGGCGCCGGATTCTGTCCTGGTTGCCCCTCTTCCAGGCCAGCTCTCTGCTGTGGCCCGGGAGTGCAGTGGAGGATGGCCCAAGTGCTTGGGCCCTGCACCCCATGGGAGACCAGGAGAAGCACCTGGCTCCTGCCTTCGGATCAGCACAGTGCGCCGGCCGCAGTGGCCATTGGAGGGTGAACCAACGGAAAAAGGAAGACCTTTCTCTCAGTCTCTCTCTCTCACTATCCACTCTGCCTGTCCAAAAAAAAAAAAAAAAAAAAAAAAAAACCAGTTTAGAACGGCAATAACCTTCTAAACCACTACTTCAAATCGTACCCATTTTCCCACACCGTAAAATTAAGACCAGAATTATGAAAGACATCCTTGCTTGGGAATTAACATGTTACTTTGCATTACGAAAACAAGCCAGTGCAACACGTGGGCACACATACTACACGGATAAACGTGATCTCCACCCTGTCTCCCCAGCTGTCCCAAAGGCAGACCTAACCCCACGGCCCAACGCTGTTTCCTCTAGAACTGCTCCAGGAGACGCACACACGGCACCCACAGAGGCTCTCAAGTCAGTCTCCGCGACCCGTCCGTTCTCCCAGAGTGAAAAACAGTGACTTCAGCCTCCCACTGCGCTCAGTTTGGTCACGCTAAGGGTTCCCGCAGAGCCGCGTCTCCCACCCCACTTCGAAGAAAGCAGCCGGTGACCGCTGAAGCCCCAGCTGTCTGCTTCCCTTACTGAACCTGATTCTGACTTTCAAAAAAATCCACCCGGAAACCATGAGCAGAAAAACCTCACAGAAAACAAACAAACAAACAAACAAATAAATAAAAACACACAAAATCAGAATACAAACCCGAACCAAGACTGGCTACGCGATGGTTAATTTCTCTAATTTGGAAAGAGCTTGCAGAATTCAAAATAAAAAGATCAACAACTAAAGAGGAAAAAGGACAGCTTTAAAAAAAGAAACAGGCCACGGAAATGAAGCTGTATCTAAGGATCCGGTTAGACGCAAGGTAACAGCCATACGGAAAATTGCCCAACATTCAAAACGATTCGCTATGTTTGTGTGTTCAGAGGAAAAACCACCTTTAAAGGTATCCACAGCATGAATCGTTTCTGTCGCCGCAGAGCGAGTTACTTCGTAACAAGATCTTAGATCTTGAAAAAAAAAAAAAAATTGCGTAACACTTCCCAATTCCAACTCCGAGGCCCTGCAGCTCCCGACAACCACGACCAGCGTCCGGCAGGGCGCCGGGAGGACCCTCTGCGGCCCCCTCCTCTCCAGAAAGGCGCCCGTGCCCAGCGGGGCTCGGACCCGTCGCCGCCCGAACCTCACGCTTACATAAGCGGCGCGGGGCGCCCGGCTCCAGCCGCAGGTGCGGCCCGCCCAGGGAGGATCTCAGCCTCGCCCCCAGACCCTTCTAAGAAGAAAAACAAAAACAAAAACAAAAAACCGGGAGGCGGAGGGAACGGGGGGGGGGGAGCTTATCACAAAGACAAGCGGGTGTCTCCCCCAAACCCAACGGCAGGCCTGCGAGCCCGAGCAGCCCCCGCCGCGGCTCTCCTCGCACGGCTCCCGTCACCTTGGCCTCGTCCCCAAGACCTCCTGCGGGAACCCCAAGGCCGGGCAGGGCCGCCCCGCGCGGCCAAGGCCGACACCCGGCCGGGGGAAGCCAGCTCATCTCATCCCGCAGGAGGCCGGCAGGGCGCACTACCTCTCGGAGAAGCTTTTCACCAGCAGCCACACAACGAGCGGCAGGTTCTCACGCTCGTTGTAGGTCGGCAAGAGCACGGAATACTTGTCCTGTCGCCGCCCGCGTCCCGCCGGCTCGCGCCGAGATCCGGGGAGCGCCCGACTCCCTTCCGTGGAGGCCATGGCGGAACTGCGCGAGGCGCCGGAAGCGGAATTACGTAAGAGCCGCGCGGAAAGGGGCGGGTCGGACCGTACCAAGTTCCGGGAGAGGGGGACGGCTAGCTGTTCCTCGCTTTCCGACTTCTATGCGGTCCAGTGAAAATATTAGAAACCTGAGAATCTGTCAAGTTGAAGCCTAAGGTTTCCTAGCACGTGGAAATCTATTTTTCGCCTTTTCCCAAAGTCCACGGGGATGTTTGGATTACCCCAGTCTCTAGGCGACGATAAGCCGGAACCGGAAATGCCCTGCACGCGCCAGCCTCCGGCGGACGTCGCCATGGCTGCCCGGGAGGAGGTGCTGGCTCTACAGGCTCAGGTTGCCCAGCGTGAGGAGGAGCTGGAGTCCCTGAAACAGAGGCTGGCGGCGGCTCTGGCGGCGGAGCGGGAACCGGAGTCGGAGCAGCCGGCGCCGGTGTCGCCGCTGCCGCCCAGGGCGTCCCTGTCGCGAGACGAGATCCTGCGCTACAGCCGGCAGCTGGTGCTGCCCGAGCTGGGCGTGCAGGGCCAGCTGCGCCTGGCGGCCGCGTCCGTGCTCATCGTCGGCTGCGGGGGGCTCGGCTGCCCGCTGGCGCAGTACCTGGCGGCGGCCGGCGTGGGCCGCCTCGGCCTGGTGGACTACGACGTGGTGGAGATGAGCAACCTGGCCCGCCAGGTGCTGCACGACGAGGCGCTGGCCGGCCAGGCCAAAGTCTTTTCGGCCGCCGCTTCGCTGCGCCGCCTCAACTCGGCCGTGGAGTGCGTGCCCTACGCCCAGGCCCTCACCGCGGCCACGGCGCTCGACCTGGTCCGGCGCTACGACGTGGTGGCCGACTGCTCCGACAACGCGCCCACTCGCTACCTGGTGAGCGACGCCTGTGTGCTGGCCGGCCGGCCCCTGGTGTCGGCCAGCGCCCTGCGCTTCGAGGGCCAGATCACGGTGTACCACTACGGCGGCGGGCCGTGCTACCGCTGCGTGTTCCCGCAGCCGCCCCCGGCCGACACGGTGACGAGCTGCGCCGACGGCGGCGTGCTGGGCGTGGTGACCGGCGTCCTGGGCTGCCTGCAGGCGCTGGAGGTGCTGAAGATCGCCGCGGGCCTGGGCCCCTCCTACAGCGGCCGCCTGCTGCTCTTCGACGCGCTCTCGGGGTGCTTCCGCTGCGTCCGGCTGCGGGGGCGCAGGCCCGACTGCGCGGCCTGTGGGGAGCGGCCCACGGTGACCGCCCTGCAGGACTACGAAGCCCTCTGTGGCTCGTCGGCCACCGAGAAGTGCCGCTCCCTGCAGCTCCTGGGCCCCGAGGAGCGCATTTCCGTGACCGACTACAAGCGGCTCCTGGATGCCGGGGCGCCGCACCTGCTGCTGGACGTCCGGCCGCGAGTGGAGGTGGACATCTGTCGCCTGCCGCATGCGCTGCACGTGCCCTTGACGCTGCTGGAGCGCAGGGACGCGGAGAGCCTGCGGCTGCTCGGGGACGCCATCCGCGAGCGGGGCCGGGCCGCCCCGGAGGGCGCGGCGCTCCGCGTGTACGTGATCTGCAAACTGGGCAACGACTCGCAGAAGGCCGTGAGGCTCCTGCAGGCCCTGCCGCGAGTGCCGGAGCTGGCCTCGCTAAGGGTGCAGGACGTGGCGGGCGGGCTCATGGCCTGGGCCGCCAAGGTGGACGGCTCCTTCCCGCAGTACTGAGCGCCCGCTCGAGGCGAGGGCGAGGGGTGCGCAGCCGCGGGACGCCGGGATGCGGCTGGGTTCTCTTCTGGGATGCAGCCAGGGCCTGGGTTCCGCAGCATCGAATGGGCGGAGCCGGTCACGGGGCTTCCGGCCGCAGCGGCTGGGAGGGTGTAGGGGCTGTGACTGTTTCCGGGAGGGGCCCTGAACGTGGGAAATGCACCGTGACACCGGGTTTGTATTCCGAACTGCACATCGTTTTTGTCTGCCTGCTGCTGATCGAAAAGCGCTCTGAACTGTCTGAGGCCTGGAGCGAAGCTGTGAGCTGGGCTCACCGAGCTGACCACAGAAGGCGTGTGCTCAGGGCAGTGTCAGGCGTTCGCGGGGTCTGGTCTCTAATTCAGACGTCAGGTTTCGTTCATGGGTTGTCTTCTCCGGGAAGTGGTCCTCCTGCCGGACATTTGAATCAGTGTGGAAGTGAGGTCTTTCCAGTTCAGTGAATTACAGGAAGCCGTTTGCCTGTCAGTTTCGCTTATGAATTGCCAACTTGCCTTAAAGTTCGCTCAGGGTCCACCCTGTGTTCACGCAGTCACATTTTCTTTGCTCTGTGGTTTGCTTTGGGATCTTCCAGGCAGTGTCTCAGCCCTCCCCCCTTCCATCCGCCTTTCCTGTTCTGACTCTTACCCGAACATTTCACAGCAGTGTAAGTACAGGTGTTTCTGTGGGCCACGTCAAACCACACTTTCATGAACTGGGAGACGCCCAGCTCCTCGTGTGCACAACAAATTCGAAGTTTGGTGCGTGAGTGTGCCGGCGGCTGTCAGTCTTCTCCAGCTGCTTATTGTGAGCGGCCCGTGGTCAGATTTCTCTTTCTAAAGAGAAGCAGGAACTCGGAGAACTGAAATCCCGTGTGTCCACCAGCAAAGCTTTCAAAAGTCTAAAGCCTTGTGGGCGGATTCACTCACTAGCTTATTCACTCACTAGTTATTGGTTTGGATAGGTCGACTTGTGGGGCCTCTTCAGAATAACATTCAATCCAAAACCTGAATGGTGAGCTGGAGCCAGTTATGAAAATCTGGGAGAACAATCCTGGGGAGAGAGACAAGTGTGAGAGCCCAGCGCAAATACCGAGCTGTCCCGGCAAGTATAGAGGCAAGGTGGGCTGTGGGGCCGCTGGGGAGGCCGTGGGCCATGGCGGGAGTCTGCTTCCATTCTGAGTAATGGCTGACGTCTGTGTGGGCAGCTGTTGAATCCAGAAGCACCGCGCCCACAGCCCACAGCCCACAGCCCAGGCACTTCACTCCCAGCAGAACTTTGTGTTTCTCTGTCGTGAGACAGTCTGTGCTTGCATGATGACAGACAGAGCTCTTGTGCGCACACCAGAAATGCCCCTGGGTACTCGTGCACAGACCTCTGCCCCCCGAGTGGAGTCCCAGAGCCCCCCATCCAGCGTCGGTCAAGGGAGGGCAGCGTTCTCCCGGAAGCTTGTCTGTTTCTGAGGACCCCCACACGCCTGAGGTCAGCTGTGTGACCCAGTTTGCTGTACTCAGAAGATGGCCTTTGTACACTGTGTCATCTCACAGTCCCGTAGGTTAGTGGAGGTAACAAACTCTTGTCATTGGAAGTCTTGCGTCTGTCTGCGTTGTTTCAGGATAATTCTGCGGTCGGTTTGGAATGTTAGGAAAACCACTACAGTGTGGGAGTGGGAAAGCATTTTGCAAATAAAGTGGTGCCAGGGTTAATTCCTACCTGTGATGAGCCGTAATTTCTGAAGCACTCTGGATGTGAAAGAATTGGGATGACAAATAGGGTATCTGTCTATCTAACATAGGTATATGAGGGGACTTCAAAAAGTTCACAGGGACTTGCATGATGGTGGAGCAGGTTTAGCCACCACCTGTGCCGCTGGCATCCCATGTTGGTGCTGGTTCGAGTCCCAGCTGCTCAACTTCCCATCCAGCTCCTTACTAATGGGCCTGGGAAAGCAGAAGACGACCCAGGTACTTGGGCCCCTGTACCCACATGGGAGACCCCGTTGGAGTTCCAGGCTCCTGTCCTCAGCCTAGCCCAGCCCTGCCCATTGCGGCCATTTGGGGAGTAAACCAGCAGGTGAAAGATCTGTGTGTCTCTCCCTCTCTCTGGAACTCTGCTTTTCAAATCAATTTATTAAAATATTTTAAAAGTTCATGGAAATGGAATTGAAAGGTGTGTTTTGGTGTAAAAATATTTTGAGATCTGTACATAATCTCTCCACGACATGCATTTTCCACAGCTTTCTGCAGACCCGTGTAGTTCACATGAAGTCTGTGTGCTGACACCGTCTCTAGTTTCTAACCTTACTTCAATTATTTGGCATCTTTTTTTTTTTAAAGATTTATTTTATTTGCAAGTCAGAGTTACAGAGAGAGGAGAGGCAGAGAGAGAGCGAGCCTCCATCCGATGGTTCACTCCCCAGTTGGTCGCAACGGCCAGAGCTGTGCTGATCCGAAGCCAGGAGCCAGGAGTTTCTTCCGGGTCTCCCACGCCGGAGCAGGGGCCCAAGCACTTGGGTCTCGAATCGGCGCCCATATGGGATACCGGCGCTTCAGGCCCCAGGGCATTAACCCGCTGCGCCACAGCGCCAGCCCCATTATTTGGCATCTTAAAAGCAGAAAATTATGAATTACCTAGGTGTTTTCTGTCTGCCTTTTAACGCCATTTTTGGACAGGTTGCTGCAGGCAAGGGGGGAGAAGGCTCCTATCACATGTGCCTTCCCGGTGGCCCCATGGCTAAGACGGAGGCGGAGAGGAGCAACGTTGATAGAAGATGGGCGTCCCCTTTAATCAGCAGCAGTCTCCTTGCCCAGTGCTTGCAGGCGAGGGAAGCCTGGAGTGAACTGGAACTTAGCAGGAGTTCAGCCGAGTCGAAACAGTTGCTGTGAGCACAGCGAACCGCTGAGCAGGGCGTCTGTGTCCCAGCAAAGGCAGTCCTGCCTCACAGCTTGGGCTGCCCAGCGGCCTCCCCACCCCCACCGGCTTCCTCACTGGCAAGACGCAGCATCGGACACTCCCTTCCCAGGCTCCTCTGCAAGTCAGGAGGGACCTGCACTCTTGAACCATTTCTCCCCGCAAACACTTTAAATCTGACCGCTTCTGTCTCCACTGCCTATGGCACCCTAGGCATCCATCATCGCTTAGTCAAATTCATGGCTTTTCTGGAGGTACCCACAGAAAATGCTGATCACATCAGTGAGTACCCAGAGTGTATCAGTCTTTGGTCTTTTTTATTTATTTGAAAGGCAGAGTTAGAGAGGGAGAGACAGAGAGAGTGAGCTTCTATTCACTGGTT